GTTGACCATAAGGGCTTACTATATAGGAGTGGATGCACTGACAACATTAACTCCCATTTGGAGTTGGTCTATTGCACCATCTTAATGCTGATGTCAGAGCTAATTGAACCAAGTTTCAAACAGGGCAGGTCAGAATCGTTACAGAGTGTGTAATTGCAGTAAAGTGAATTTGACTGTGTACCAGGGTAATGAACAGAAGCAGGCAGAGGGCCCCCAACATAATCATGTGCTCTAATCATAGGGGATTTTGAGTGTGTTTGTTATCCACTTTTTTTTTTTGGTGTGACAATTATCATAATTAAGACCTAAAAAAAGGTAGAAGTTACTTCATCTAGTCCCGTCTTGAAATGTCTTACTCTTACATGACATAAAGGATGGTGATACCAAAAGAAAAAATGTATTACTTTAGTAGTGTATTAGGATTGCTGGTAAAAACAGGTTATATTTCAAGAGCACAGCTGAAAGTTTAAATGTGACTTTTACTCCTTGCAACAAATGAGTGTGAATTGACACTAGTGTGGAATTTGACATATGCTGTATGGCTGTATCCCTGCTGAAGTGTCCTCACCTGTCCTGAGCGTTTCCCAGCAGTGCAGGTGGTAAAGGCAGGGGAGGCAGAGTCGACGTCTTGTGGAGTGGGGTCTGGCGGACAGGGCTGCGTGTAGGGAGCGGAGCAGGCGATTTGGCCTGGGATGCGTTTGAGGATGTTGGAGGCTGAATACCTGTTTCTGCCTGAGGTGGTGGTGGTGGAACCTGGGTGGCTGGACCGGGTGGCACAGGAGGAGAAGGCTGAGGAGGAGGAGGTGCCGGAGAGGAGGTGGAAGAAGAAGGTAGAGGTGCAGTAACCTGATCTTCGCCAATGGTAACATCCTGGGGTAACAGCACAGGTGGTGGGGGCAGAGGTTCTGCGACTGCTGACGAGTCTCTCTCTGGCTGTGACACCTCGCCTTTAGTGGACCGTGAGGAGGAGGGGCCTGCAGCTTTACGTGCTGGAGGAAGAGGGGAGGCACCACCGCTGGCACGAGCAGCCGCCTCAGCAGCCTGCCGTTCTTTCTTCCTCCGAGTCAGCTCTGCTCCCAGGCTGGAGTTAAGCGGCAGGCGAGAGGGAGGGGAGCGGCTAGCTGGTCGGCTGCTGTGGGAGCTGCCCCCCGTTACACCAGAGGAAGTATGCCTCTTGTTACGGGAACGAGAGGAGGAGCGACGAGAAGATGAGTAGTGCAGAGGGGAGCGACTCCTGGAACGGCCAGAGCGTCTAAATGAAAAAAAATTTAAAAAGTCAAGATTTTACATTCTATTGTCTCTTCCTGAAATCAGTAATAAGGATGTAACACGTTGCATGCTTTTTGAAAATGTTTTTAAAAAGGAACAGACTGGGTAATAAGCAGACACAACCTCTTCCATCATTAAAGAAAATGTGGGTCTTTTGATTTGGAACGTAACAGAAGTTAATACACAAATAAACCAACACTGAAACAACTGTTGATTGGATCCAAACCTGATAGACTCTGAAGTGATAACAGCTGGTTACTAATCTGTCTTTCCTAGTTTACATTTCCTTTGACTCCATTCCAGTCGCAGATATACACCACTGTCTTCCTCAAAATAAATACAAATACATTCTGAATAACCAGACAATTTAATTAATATTTAAGCACATTTCCAGACTTCTCAAGTCTGCTGTTCAAAATAAAAATCTGTCCACTGCACAGTAACATTTGAACTCACAAGGTGTCGTTTTATCCCTTTAACTGAAAATGACAACTGGCTTTGTATGACGTGGGGGGAAAATGAACGCGGTATTTTACATGAAAATATAACTTTTCATTGTTTTACCTATAAACAATGTTATATGTTCTCACCAGCAGGTGCCAGTTTTTTTTTTTTTTGCTGCCTTTAATTTGCCTTTGAAGAAAGCAGTGACTCGTGTGTACTGTAGACTCAAATATAATCATCAATGCAAGTCTCTGATTATTCTGGTGCCCTAACCTCCTCCTGGTAGCCACAGCTCATGGTTTAATGACATTGTGCAAAGCAAAACACAATGTCTGAAGGTAAACCGTGCCATCACTCCCTCCTTTGGTTCTCACCCTCTGGCTTTTGTCTCAGGAAATTTCAAAATGGAGAACATCTACACCCAGCCTTTTAACAATAAGTATGTCACTGAAGGAAGAATGTCTCTGTGAGTTCAACTGACCGTTTGCCTGACTTTAAACTTACAATGTAGGTTGCTCAGTAACCTGAATCAATGAACATCAGGATGCGCATCATGACTATGCAAAAATACAACCAAACATGACCTGATTTGGAAATTGATCTGCTGTTACAACCCTCATGACCTCTTTCCAAACTCACTGTGTGTGTGTGTGTGTGTGTGTGTAAACTATCTACCATATTCCCCATAAGATTTAAACGGCTCCCTACAGCACATACTCACCGAGACATGGGGCTGGTGCTGGAGGATCTTCGGTTGCCATAGGGGCTGATAGAGCGTCTCCTTGAGTACGGGCTGCTGTCCCTCTCGTAGCTTGAGGACCTGTGCCTGCTGCCATAGGGGCTGTCTGATCTCTGTCTGCTGCGGCGAGACACATCCCCGTAGGGACTGGGGCTCTGCTGGGCCACCCTCCGCCTGGAGTAGCTGTCATCCCCTTGCTGCCCGTACCCACTGCCCTGTGGACTCTCACTGCCGGCCCCTCTTCTGGGACTGGGCGAAAGAGCAGAGCTGGTGCCCTTCCTGCGTGGGCTACCCCTACTTGAAGACTTTCCCTTAGGGCTTGACTTGTGGCTCTTGGAGGACTTACGGTGGCTCCTGTCTTGTCTGGTCCTCTGGGAGGAGCTGCGGTTGCCCTCCCCTCTGCCTTCTCTCCGCTGCTGCCTGTCTTTGCGAGACTTCCCTGAGCGGCTGCTCTCCTTGCTTCGAGATGAGGATGTGGAGGAAGTAGTGCTACCTACACTGGCTGCAGGCTGCACCTGGGAGGAAAGCATCAGCTCCCCGCGTTTAGACTCCCCCTCTGGCTGGACCTGGCGTTTGGATGATGGGCCTGATGTGGCAGCCTTCTCCTTGCTCTTCCCAGAACTCCCTTTCTCGCGGTCTTTGCTGCTCTTTTTCTTGTACCCACGTTCCCCATTCCCAGAGTCTCTAACTTTGTTGGGGTCCTTGGCCTTTTTCCGGGAGTGTCTGTGCCCCCGGTTCTCTCTACCGGCTGCTTCTCCGTCGATATCGTCCCTATCGTAGTCTGGGGAAGGCTCCAGCCGGTCCCCGCCCCCCCTCTCAGACGGCCTGGAGGACGGTGGGTCCGAGAAAGTGTCCGAGTCGGAGCTGATATCATCGTACTCCACCAGAGGCTTCACCGTGTTGACACCAGGGGGCGCAGTATCACCGAGGGTAAAATATTCGGGTCCCGGTGCCGCCGAGGATTCCCGATTATGTTTGGTTGATTTATGCCGTTTGCGTTTTGAAGAAGAGGAAGAGGACATTGAAGATTTTAACTGCACCTTGCCGTCTTTGCTCGTCTTGTCTCCCGCAGAGGTATGACTTGGGGCCTGGGTCTGGTGTGGCACAGCGCTGGTGCCAGATTCCGGCTTCCTCTTGGTCCCATGGTGTCGGTCCGACCCAGGCATCCCTCACGCCGGCGTCGGTGCCTCTCCTGCGACTGGGCCTCGGTAGTCCAGGCAATTCATTCACAGGAAAAACAGTAGCTACTCCAAATGCCAAAACAACAGAAAAAATGTTACTAAGCAGAAACAAGGCGAGAAAAACACACAAAATAAACACACCAGGCCGCTCACGTCCAGTCCTCCTCAACGCCAATTCATTCCGTTGAGATCTCCAGCATTGTTCGTCAAAGCAGAAAATAGCCTCGGTGGTTGTCCGGTGCTGTGAAGTGTGTACTTTGAGTTTTGTCAGTGAATGAAGAGAATCCCAACCAAACATCGGAGCATTGTGGAGTCGTCTCCGTCTCAGTTTGCAGCTAGCACCGCTGGCTAATGCTCGGCGGCTAGCGAGCTGACTCGTACAAAAAGAAAAAAAGTCCCTTTGTGAAAGGTGTCCTTGTCCAAGTTAAAGTAAAAGGTGTTTTTATTCCACAGAATTACGGTCTTAGCACTCAGAAACAAGCAAATGCCTTCATTAGAAGACGCTCGTTTCTCGAACAAAATGAAAACTTGACCCGGTTGGTAGTTTACATGTTCCCTTTAATGTAAGTTTTATCCCCTATAAATTCAATATTGAATAGAAATCATAGTATTTTCGTGTGCAGTAGATGTTCCAGTTTATTATCAATGGCTCTGGGAGTCAACCAGGCCTATATTTAGGGCGATGCTAGTGGATTTAATATCATCCACAGCCCTATCTGAAGGAGACTACAAACGCCATTGTGGCTCCTGTGACTAGCAACTTCTGCGCACAGCGGAATGAACCGGAAACGGGGACGCTGTCAATCTAAGGCGTATCTTAGCAACGGCCAATCAGAACAGAGAGCCCGCCCACTGTACTCGTGGTAGCGCGCCAGCCAGCGACGGGAAATGTTCAGGGAGCTGCATCAGGGAGAAAAACACATGCTTCAACCAGTCAGGTATGACAGGATGACAGGTTACAAACGAATAAACAATACACAGCACTGGTGTTAGAAAATACATGGAAGTATCAGGAGGAAGGTGAGGTTGGAGTTTAAACCATGCAGGAGGCGGTGGAGGTAAGATAAGAGGAGATAACTCCTTTATTTAAAACAGAAAACAAAGAATATCCCAGTAAAAATATTGCTAAT